CACCTTGGGGCTGCAGATTTCAGTGGTGAGTTTGACAGGACACCAACATTGCGAGCTAAATTATTATTATGCACTTCACAATTCAGAAGCAGCCGACATCTAAGGACAGGAAAGTGCCAGACTCACCATTCCCACTGGATGAGAAATGGTAAGTCCTGGCTTCCTGTAACTCAGTCACCTGGAGACAAATAGACCACTGCTGCAGTGGCATCGCCATTGTCACATAGCTGTCTTGCCCTCATGCCTTCTCCAGGCCCTGCAGGGAAAGCGCCTGTGAGGATCCCCCAGCACCAGGCACAGGGATCTCATATGAGAACCAAACTCCGTGACCAGGATGGAGCCCGAGGCAGGCTGCCTGTGGCAGCTGGTCCCACCCCACCTTCACCCCAGAGTGGGGAGAACGCTGTTGGCCACTCTCCTGCCTTTGTACATGGTCCTTTGCTAGCATAAGTGCCACAATAGTGACACAGCAGTAGCAGACAGGCAGAGAACTTGGTGCCGTTGCTTCCCAAAATGTACTTCCAGTCACGTGGGCCTCTTCCTCTGCCCCTCTGCATTCAGGCCAGGCCAGCTGCTCTTCCTCTGCCCCTCTGCATTCAGGCCAGGCTGGTGGCGGGAGGTAGCTCAGGGCAGACACGACGTCCTCAGCACACGGGAGCCCTGCCTGGCTTCCATACCCAGCACCAAGCACACAGTTGAGGCCAGCCCCAGAGTCTGGCTTCCTGTGCTTCCCTGCCTGGCAGTGTGGCCAGGGGGTCCTGTGTACCAGGAGAAGAAGCCCCTCAGTTCCGGCTTCTGCACCCTCTCCCCACTGAGTTTCCCCGAGCCCCTTCCTGGGGACTGTGATCTGTGGCTCAGAGTCTGGTCACAACTCCTGCGGGGCTTGTTCCATGTTGGTGTGTAGCTTGTTTGTTACAGAGTGTGCTGTGCTCAGGGGGTCCCGAGAGGACTCCACTGTTACCAGGCCTGACCTGTGAAGCTGGTTACTGTCTGTCCTTGCCCTCCACCTCATCACTTGCACCTCGCTGGTGGGTGTTTGGGGTGCACATGAGGGGCCGGGCCAAGGCATCACTCCTGAAGGCCAGGAGTGGCATAGCCCAGCAGGCATCTATGACAAAGTGACCGTGTCCCAGCCTGGTGGACCCCAAGACACCCAAAGGTCTCCTGGCCTTGAGATGGCAGAGGGGCATCATTCGAGGCAGAAAGACAAGAAGATACCTACTCTGGCAACTTTGAAGGTGTCTTCTCTTTTCGTTTCTGGGGTTAGAGTCACTGCCCCTCCCCCTGCTCTCTCGTGGCTGATTTATTTAAAGGTGTGTCAGCACTGGGATCTGATGAGGAGCGGGCCCCTCCTCCCTGCTGACGGCGGCCATGCCAATAATTCATTTTTTAGCTCATTAGCTAACAGAGGCTGAGAGCAGTGGTCCTCCGGGCATTAGAACGAGGCGAGGTGATCTACTGCCAGCTCGCTGCTCTTGAACTGGCCTTCCTTGGGGAAAGCGAAAGGTGCCACCGCACCGGCTGAGGGCCCCAGAAGTGAGCTCGGGACATCGGAGTAACAGCTGGAGTTCTATGCCTCTGGGTCACGGTGTCCTGGGGTCATGGTGTCCAACAGAATATTCTTACAGAAAACAGGCCTCCGCTGCCCTTTGCGCCGTTCACGTCCTGTCGCCGTTGCTGCCTTCCACCCACCGGGACCGCTGCCCTCTGCCCTGGGCCACTCTGCCATGGAGCCGGCCCATGGTGGTCCAGAGCCACGACAAACTGTGAGCCAAGCAAGCCTTTGCTCTTCAACCTTGGCTGGCAGGTTTTGTCTCGGCAACAAGAAAAGCAACCCGGAATTCATCCCTACTTGTCCATGATTGTCCTGAGGATACTGTCTCTAAATCAAGTCCCACTGGGGATTCGGGCTTCAGGATCTGAGTCCCAGAGCAGGACCCCAGCCCAGACACTAGTATCCAAGAAACTTTAGGTCCCAAGGTTGTGGGAAGGCTAGCCATACTGGACCCAGCAACCATGATAGTGGGCACAGCCTGGGACCACAGTACCCCCAGGGACCCTGGCCGGGGGCAGCACCCCTCCCATGCTCGAACTGCAGCTTCTAGCCAGCAGCACGGGGAGATTTCTTTTCCCTCCTTCTGGCCACCAAGAGAAGACGCCCAGAGCTAAGTTGCCCCCTCTGTCAGGGTGGACAGTGGCTGCAGGGGATGGGTGGCTTCCCATAGGAGTAGGGGCTTGTGTGAGCGTGGGGGCGCTAAGTCAGCACCCGAGTCCCACTACCCCCTCTGGGCCCTGTCTACACATTGGCTAGACTGCTCAAGAGTCATGTCTGATGCAGCCATGAGGACAGGGGCCTCCTCTAGCTTTCTAGCCACTCCTAAGGATGACAACTATGACGTGCTGTGGGCTTCGGTTCTGGAAAAGTACACAAAGCTCCTTGATGGGCATGGCTCTATCCAGCAGGGACGGCCACATGCTGGGCAGATCTGGGGGACCACCCAACTGGAGAAGGAAGGTCCTCCTGGACGTGGGGCCAGCAGAGGCAGACCCTGCAGCCAAGTCTGCTGCGACGTGGCCCTGGCTCGTGTCCTGCCAGTCTTCCCCCGCACTGTGTCAGAGCTAGAGGCCTCCTGTCCTGCACCAGAGTCCTGTTGGAGCCCTTCCAGTCACTGCAGAGCTGGAAAGCCCAAGCACCCAGCCTCCCTGTGGAACCCTTTCTGGCCTTCTTCCCAATTTCAGGGGTGCAGCTCCAGCGCCTCATTTCAAAAGAATGCTCCCCAAGCAGCATGGGTTTTCGGCCCTCAAAACCTGTGCCCACCTTTATTCTGTGTCCTGACCAGTGCTGTGGTTTTTTTCACAATTGTATTTATTCAGGCAAACAGCTTTGCAGAAGCAGGAGCCCTCAGCTCGGTTTGCTTAGCCTGTGCTCACTGCAGCTAGTTTTCAGCACTGATATTTTTTAAGCAAAGAGCAGCTCATCCCTGTCGTGTGCATGGCCCTGGATTCCGGTGAGAGTCCTGTGGGGTGGCTGTAGTTGAGGACAGGAGTCACCCCACAGTTTCTAACCAGAGCAGAAAGCACAGAGCCCAGGCTTCCTGCAGGCTTCATTAAGAAGAAAATGCAGTAATCGCAGTAAAGACTAGAGTCTCTGTGTTAAGTTCTCTGCTTTATCCCTGGATGATTTGGCAACGACTATTAAAATCAACCCAAGCAGAATAAGACAGCCTGATTTTAATGTCTGCCCCCAAAAAATGAGACTTAGCAGATTGGAGCTTGGAAATCTGGACATAACTCACACCATTATCCTTTTTCACTGAGTTCACATTTTGCTCTTTCTCCTTCATGATTTACGAAACGCATCAACAAACGTTTAAGATATTATAAATAGGTTTTCTTAAACAGCGTCCAAGCCCCCGGGTGCTGTGGCAGTTTTGCCGCACTTGGTGCCTGCGGTGCCTGTGCTGTCGCCCAAGGGTGTGGGACGCATCAGTGGGTGCCGGGCAGCCCTGAGCTGCGGCCCCGGCTTTGCCCTGGAATCGCTGAATGAAAAGCACCGGGTCACCCCCGGGTCACTCACATGTACCAGGAAGTGAAGCAAAACTAATCCAGATTTACCCCTGGAAGAATCTGTTTGCCTAAGTATTTAAAAAAAGATTAGGGCTCACCCAACACTGGGTCCCCGCACAGTGTAAACAGGGGTAAAAGGTGTAAACAGGGCCTGGCCTCTGCGCTTCGGAAGCAGAAATGTCACGGGTGATGAGTTTCCTTTCTAGACGGGGGCAGGAGGCCTAAGTGGCTCTTGGAGTGGCTGGTAGCTGTGTACCCTGATTGTCGCCCTGGAGGGAGTTCGGGGCCACTTGTGCATCATCAGAGCCTTGCTGAAGCATCTGTAATTAGAGCCTCTTGGCACACGGTGGTCTTTTCTTCCTCACCCTCATCAAGAAGGTCGCATCCCGACCTCCCAGGACACACCCAGGGCTACTTGGCAGATTTCAAGAGCTACTTGTACAATCTCGCTTTGTTCTTTCTGCATCTGTAGCCCTGCTCTCCACAGCAGTGCGGTAGAGGGGTGAGCCTGTGGCACGTGTGCCGCAGCGGGCACACCTCTGCCACCGCAGGAGCCAAGTCGCCCGGCTGCTGAGTACTGGGTAACAGCCGTTTTTTCTAAACTAAAACCTCAGCGTTCAGTTGTAATCGCAGCGTTAGCACTTTGCAATAAGTAAGTGGGTTTGGGGGTCACAGTTTTGGCAGTCACTTTCGAGTGGGTCTCTGCAAGGCTCACCATCCCTAACCTAGAGGAACACCCCAGTTTTAGTGTCTCACTTCCTTTCCTTTTTGAGAAGCCAAGCCCGCTTGTTGCCCGGCTTCTCTCCCCACCCGTCCTCTTGTGTCGGCCCTTCTTCCAGATCCTCTGCAGCCCCTGGGGAAGACCCAGTTATCGCCCCCTCCCCAGCACCACTCTGTTCTCTGCCCCTCGGACCACTAGGCACGGGCTCCCTCCCTTCCCCTCAGAAAAACCAGGTGGTTTCTGTCACTTGAGGAATTACTCGCATTTTGCCACCTCTCCGAGCACCCAGAGGTTAGAGAAGCGTCCACCCCAGTCGCCTGCTCAGCTGCCAGCATCCTGCTGCTTCTCCAGGACCCTCCTGCAAAGTTCCCTTCAACCCAAAGAGCACACACGCCCCACCCCGCCCACACCAAGTGGGAGAGCAGTTGGGAGTCAGGAGCACACAGCCACCTGCAGGCAGGGAGGCAACCCACTGCCCTGCCTGGACCCTGGCCCCGGGTCCTCCTGTCCTAACTCACCACAGGGGAGACACCACTTTGGGACCCTGGATGACAATTCTGGGGAGAAGAGGGGCTCCCTCAAGCCTCGTGGGGACCTGGCACCATTGCTTCACCTCCTTCGCTGTGCCTCCTGCCCCATGCGCCGATAGCAGGGGGCTGCAGCCTGGGTGCCTGTGCCCATGGTGAACATGGCTGTTTGGGGACTCTTGCAGGGAAGAGAAGGAGCGGTGGATTCGCGCAAAGTACGAGCAGAAGCTCTTCCTGGCCCCACTGCCCTGCACAGAGCTGTCCCTGGGCCAGCACCTGCTGCGTGCCACAGCCGACGAGGACCTGAGGACGGTCATCCTGCTGCTGGCGCACGGCTCCCGGGACGAGGTGAATGAGACCTGCGGGGAGGGCGACGGCCGCACAGCGCTACACCTGGCCTGCCGCAAGGGCAACGTGGTCCTGGCCCAGCTGCTCATCTGGGTAGGTGGCCAAGCCCAAGGGCACTGGGGGGTGGGGAAGTAGGCGGGGCTGGTAGTATGTGGGCAGGGCCTTGGGAGGGCGGGACCAGCAGCCAAGTCCTGATGTTGGCTGGGGCAGGGCCTAGAAGGCAGTGGCCAGCAGGGGTGGGGCCTCAGGGCGGAACCTGCAGTGACCCTGTCCACCATACTCTACTGCCAGGGCCCTCTCCTTAGTGGTAGGCCATTGTTACCCTCTAAAACTGGGGAACAATTCCTATTAGGGAGTCCAGATTCTAGAGATGCAGGTTTATGCATGCTTTTGATCTGTTGCAGCGGGCACCCTGGGGAGACTAGATTAGATGCAGACACTGAATCCAATCACTCAGCTGTCTAGCCTCACCTCCTCACAGTAGTAAGAAAGGCAACCGAATACTAATTAAGCAACAACCCTGTCCCATTGGCTTGGGCCACAGCAACGTAATAGCACAGGCGTAGCGCTGATCAGTGGACATTGGCTGTCCTGTGTTTCTGGAGGCTGGCTGGCTAGTCAGGGTGCGCAGGGATGGTTTCTCTGTGGCTCCCCCTTGGTGAGCAGTGGCACCTCATGCTGTCTTCTCCGTGGGCATGTACTGCTGGTTTTGCTTCCATGTCCCGTGAGGACACCAATCCTATTGGGGTGGGGCAGAGACAGTCTTTTCCAAGTGAGGACCTCAGCTTAGTAATTTAGGGGATATAATTCCACCCAAAGAAATTGAAGGCCATTGTCCTTTTCAGGGTAGCCAAGAGCCCCTCTATGGCAGGGCTCCAGGTGCACATAGGTGTGCAAAGCCACACACACACATACAATGAGTAGTAGAGCTGAGAGCAAATTCACACTTTTTCATAAGCAAGATGCTTACAGGTGCACACCTGTAATCCCAGCTCTGGAGGCTGAAGCAGGAGGCTCACATGGAGTTCAAGGCCAGCCTGGGCTGCATAGTGAGTGCAAGGCCAGCCTGCGTCACATAGCAAGACCCTGCATAAAAAATTTAAAAAATCAATAACGTTGGGTATTGTCAGCTCATATTTGCCCTTCACCTTGAAACCTGCAAAAGATTAAAACGAGGCTCCCCTCACGGCACTGTTCTAGCAGAGACAGTTTTCAAGCACAGTGTGCAACAGCTAAACAGACTGGCTGGGGCTGGCCCATCAGGTGGAGCGCTAGCCGGCTGCCATGAGCCAGGCCTGTGGGGAATTTACAGTGGGCTAGGGAGGTGATCGCAGCCCGTTCAGTAAGAGAAGAATTTACAGCCTTCTGTTTTATACATTTATACATTTAGATTGAAAGGAAACTATTATTAGTAGGAAATGTTCTAAACTACTCACAAAGGCTGTCTCTGGTGAGATTAGAGGTGATTTCCTCTTATGGTCTTCCGTGTTACTTCTGTCTTTCTGTAATGCAAGTGAATTGTTACTATATATATA